GAAATACAGCGCAACAATGGTTGAAGAAACCAGAACAAGCGGCGAGAGCAAAGGAGAAAACGACAGTAAAGAAGAAATGATGGACAAAGAAGAAGAAGATGACGAGAATGAAGAAACAAGCAATGAGAGCGAACGAGAAAATGATACGATAGACAAAGAAGATGGAGAGGACGAAGAACAAGGCGATACAGCAGACAGTGGTGTGGAACAAAGAAAAGGAAACGAGGTGCGATAAATAAGAAATAGGAAGACAAGCGTTCACTTTCTCTAAACAGATATTATTTTAGGAATTATTGATCCTGAATCTTTCAATAGTTCTTTTTTTCACTGATTTCAGAAATTGACGGGTATTGAATTGTTTGTGGACATGTATAAAAAGGTGATGAAAACAATATGTTATTTTAACTACAGTAAGTCACTAAGACATTGTGAACAGGCAGTCAATAAAAACAGTTAACAGGGAACGCCTAACAGGTAACGCATGCATTAATTTATCTTAGATGTCTATAAAAATCTTCTTGTTTAGAATGAAATTGGTTGCATCATTAGTACAATTAACGAAGAAAAATGCTGGGACAAGTTTATTGAAATCGCTTACGAGTTGTTGCGAACGGTCAAAAGACATGAACAACCTGCAACTCACGCATTAAGGTATATTATTTACATTCTTATTTAAATGTATTATACCAACAGGATATGGGAAATCGATATTTATAACACATCCAATCACTGATAAATTTTTGTTAACTCGTTAGATATAAATTAAATTACTTTCTATAGATCACGTGACTTGGAAGCGATGGGATTACCACTCGATTATGTGGCGAGTCGAGAAGGAAATTTATTCGAAGCACTCAGCACCGATCCAGATAGATTGGCACTAGATGCGTTTCTTTACGGTATTGCACACCAGTGTCATTTGGCGTCTGAGGTTAGAAATGTTTTATATATCATATGATCTCACTCACAAACTACTTATTGCAATAGCCTTGTATAATTATTTTAATCCAATGGATTATTACAGCGCTCAAGACAAACAAACACAACGGTATCAGGGGAAGATATTATGAAAGACCTGAAAAACTTCAACACTGAAGGTAATGATGCTCTTCGTAGAGGAATATGTAAGAAACTGTATGTTTGAAAGTGACTCTCGTGGAGAGTAGTTGCGAAGTGTAGGTTATCCAACTAAGAAAACAATTTCTTCCACGTTTTGAGCGAAGGCCATTTGTTCACTAACTTCTTCACAAAGAGCCTTCGCTCAAACGTCGAACAAACTGTTTTCCTATTTTTCAGGTAGCTGAACTAGCTATTCTCACGTCGCTACCTACACGAGCATCCCCCGCGAAAGACTTTCTTGAAGAGTCACTTTCAAACACACAGTAGAATTTTTTTTGGTGAGATTAAATCCTGAAACTATGCGTTTCCAGTTTTACACTTTTTCATTCTCTAGACTTTTACCTGACAGATACACACTTTATGTGTGTTGCAGGAGCACTTCGTGCCTCTTTGGAGGTTTGGCGTCCGAAGCACGAGGTGTTTCAAATCTATTCGCCTTGTATCTGTCAGGTGATGGAGGGAATTGGTAGTGTTGTCCATACGGTTGGCCAAACGATTAAGGACGACTCGGTGTACGTTTTGTTGGAGACCAGAATGGAGAAACGGCCAACACGTCACCATGCAAAAAGAAAGCAAAGCTACAGGTGCGTATGAATGATAAATAGCTATTTCAATGAAGATTGTCAGTGACAATCTTCAAATCTACAATATGAGCACGAAATGAATATGGGAATAAACATAGTTTGTAATATGTTTAACTGTTTAACGCTTCGGTGTAGCCTCGTGGGACATACAACATTGATTAAAATAGCTTAATGGAAATAGCTTAATTGAAATAGCTAATATGATACTAATTTTACTATACAGTATATTATTTTGTATTCATCTTGTAATCTCACAAGACTGATATTTTATAACATATTGTATAGTACATTTGACTATTGTTGCTGACAACCTTAATTAAAATAGCTGGATATCATCTATCGTACGTAGTATACCTACATCAGTAACAGTTAATATTCAGTGCCTTGTGAGTTGTGATGTGTATAAACATAAAACATGGCATTTCTGTTTTTAGGAGGACGTGGAATGGAGAGAACGAGAGGTATCATGCAAGGATTACTTCAATCTCACTATTTTATCTTAAGATATTCTTACAGAAGCAGTGCCACTCGCTGCATGTTCATCCGGTTTTCGGCATAAAATTCTTTATTATGTATAGAGTTTATGTGCTGTAGCTAGGATGAAATAAAAATTGTATTTCACGACGAAACGAAGCGTAAAAGCGTTATTAGCTATACGGTTTTGGTCACGAGTGACAAATGATCGTATCGGCATTCTGCTCTCAAATTGTACGAAGTATATATTAAAAATGTAGATAAGCTTCATATATTTACAATTCATCAAAACATAAAAACGTTCACCCAACGTTTTCAAGTTAATCCATGCGCATATAACATGATGCGCGTCGGGTGGTACTGCTTATTTAGGAACGCATCATTTTTGAAAACTTATTTATTTTCTATCTCTCGGTTTAATAGAGTTGGTTGCTTCGACGGCATCTTTGTGTATCGAAAAGATCTAGAGACACTAAATAGTCGTCGTTGGTTATGTGATACCATTATTAACGTCTTGTTAAGGTGATTGAAAAAATAAATAAATGACTGTCTTCAACCTATCCAATTTTTCCATAAACACCTGTATAATCTTTAAGTCAGGATCCTAAACAATTATTTTGTAATAATTATATCTCTAATATTTATTATACAGGTATTACTGCAAATTGGCGGAAAGGAAGGGGGGAAAGCTGCTGAACTTCGCCTTCACAAGCTACTTTCAGCAGAGACTATTAATAAAGGGAGCTCTGTAAGTGTATCTTTAATTTTGATATATTTTCATTGCGGTTTACTGTTGCATCTTCTTCAATGACAACGGCCAACGAAAAATAAGTATGTACTTGAAAAGGATTTGCAGTGCAGAAAGACACTGTGATATTATATGCAAACGAAAAGCACAATTGCAAGAACACCTTCACCAAACTAAATTACTATAAGCATGAACTGATTCTTATTTACAACATTTAGGAGCAATCGACCTCTTGATCTCTCTGGATGCAACATTGGTGCAGTGAAAGCGTTTACACCACCAAACATGCACAAACTTAAATACGTCCTCGTGGCAATATGTGATATGTAAGGATAAATATTGCTCATTTTTAATTGAAATTGTTCTCATAATCAAAATACTAAACCGTATTCGAATGACATTTACATTTATGCACAGTATGCTACTTAATTTATGACGTCATACGTGCTACATCAAGAGTACAACTTTTGAATTTTTACCAGGGTACACTGGTGGCTTATCGTTTATGAGATTGCAAGTGGCAATCTCAACGTCTTATGTAGCTTGGGTGGGCGAAACGAAATCGTCGCTTTGAACATACTAAGGTAAAAACACTTATCTCCCATTTTAGTTTCTATTTATACAGGTATATTATTGTGTACTGACAATAAGTGTAAATTTATTATAAAGCCAGACCATGTCATCATATTTTTTCAACGACCATGCAATGTCCATGATTTGTGGATTCTTTTCTCTCAATATTTTAGATATTTTAAGCATGTGAGAGAAGAACAACTATGGCCGGAAGAGATCCCTCCAATTTCAGCGCCAATATACGCAAATGTATGTTAAAAATCATATAAACCGGTGTCGGTGACGATATGTTTAATTTTGTGTGTCTTAACTCTTAAGTATTTTGAAACATGACTAAAAAATTGTTTCCAATCACAGGTCGCACGACAAACGAATGGGAATGACTGTGGTGTTTTTGTTTGCGAATTTGGAAGAAGAATTACGGAGGGGGTAATGATAATAACATCATTTCGAACAATAATTATTCATGTTATAGATATCGATGTTCTGCATATAGTTTTGGCTTAGATACATCAGTATAGCTACTTTTCTATGGCATCTTATGCACCTATTGGTAATAGTATAGTATACTAGTATAGTATTTATTAAGTTTTTATTTATTAAGTTTTCCCTATGTACAATTTTTATATATAAAGAGATAATTGATTTCTTTTTTTGGTAATGTTTGGGCTAGTATATATAGTATTAGTATATAGTATTAGTATATAGTATAGTATGTAATATATGAACAACGAGAGCGAGTGTTTCACCGGGATATCCAAACACGAGAAAACAATGTATGAAAACACGAGCGCGAAGCGCGAGTGTTTTCATACATTGTTTTCGAGTGTTTGGATATCCCGGTGAGACACAAGCTCGAGTTGTTTATATGGCTTCTTAAATGAATTGAGACGTAACAGAATGTTTTCGTTTGCTGATTTGAATAGAATTCTTAACCAAGCATAACGTAATTAGGAATTCGATGCAAGTAATTTTGCATGCGTAATTAAGATATTTGATGAAAACACTAGTGACTTTCATCAATTATCCAAATGGCATCTTGTGATCAAATAGGTGATTATCACTGGCTGAATTGCTCATGAATTATTAATGAATTTGAGAAAGTATAGTATAGTATAGTATAGTATAGTATAGTATAGTATAGTATAGTATAGTATAGTATAGTATAGTATAGCAATACTAATTAGGATGAAACATTAGACATTATATAATTATACTAATTAGGATGATCAATTATATAATGCCACATGCTTTATCAGATATAAAGTCACTCCACGTGACATATTACTGCTGACATGATTTGCCACCACGTTTATGAGTATTTTAAGTATAGTATAGTGCAATTATATTCCAAAATGCTTTAAAATCAGGTTAAAATGTTAAATTAAATAATATGTTTACTATTTATGCCATCTCTTTTGCAGGGTGAAATTGGTCCTGCGTTGGTCGAAGGTAGGAGCGTGGAGAGAAGAAGACAGGAACTTAAAAAAACTAATTAAATCTTTTGGAAATCCTTTGGTCTAACTTGGACTTTATATGGGGAATATACAGTATGCATGCATGAGGGTCAGAATGGAGTTAAAAGTATAATGGAGTTAAATAGTTTTTAACTGACAAACCTTTTTTCACTGGTAGCTTGCATTGAGTGATATCTGAGTAGACGATAAAACTGCAGTTTGGGACAGATGTTTACAGTGACTGCTGGCGTTTTAGCTGGCAACTGACATTCACCTTCTCCTAAGCAATCTTCCATTTCCTCAATTACGTAGGCCCAGTTACACGATTCGATGGATTGTAAACATTATTTTACAGTCAATTCACGCATGACAATACGTATCGGAATAACATAAAATTTTACCGTTTCAAGGCAAATTAGCACCTAAAGTTATGATAATATAACATAGACTTCAAATATGAAAACATGTAAGAGCAGCGAATTAGTGACCAACCTCGTCCCCAGGGCCTTTTAAAGAAAGATGCGAAGGGCAGCAAAGGCCCTGGTAAAGGCTGGTGAAATAATCCACAAATTGTGGATTATTTTGTCACGTGATATATCGGAGCAAATACTATACAGGGGGGTGCGATCGCGGATCGCTTTAGCTAAAATATATTCGTCAATATAATGCATAAACACCGAAATCGACAAATAAAGAACAAAAATCTATTTTAAAATGAAAAAATCTGTTAAAGTTCTTCCAAAAATATTGAATAAATTTGAAATTGTCTTCAAATTAGCTCTGAGAACCTTGGTTGAACTGTAAAGGAGATCTATTAAATAGACAAAGCAACAGTGCAAAACGAATGGATCGATAGAAGTATTTACTATGAATTTAATACTGTCGCAAGGAAATTGATGCCTCGATTGTGAAACAGATATGTAAAATCACTTTAATTTAATAATATGGACTCTCAATACACCATATCCATGATCATCAAAACATTTAATAGTTATTGTTGCTACAATAGATCTTTCTTGCAAATGTCAATATCATACAGTATATTTAACAGTTAAAGGGAGTACAAGACCCAAAGAATGTCTGAAAAACAAGGAATGTCAACATCGTATGCACTTGGAATTTAAATACTTATGTTAGCCATATGCCCTGAGTATAACCTGGTTGACCTCCATGATTAATTAACATTTTCTGAATTTAATTGAGTTGAAATATTTTATTTGATTTTCATTCTTATCCCAAGAACATTGTGAACACACATATAATGCTTTGGGTTTAGATTTCAAAGGCCAAGCTTCAAAACAAATGTTGTGATCTTAATGATCAGGCATTCCCAAACAATTACATGCATGAGGGTCAAATCAGACAGAAATCCTCCATATGCTTTATCAAGGCTGAATAATATAATGAGATGGAATTAATTTCCTCATTATACTGTTAACAAGCTCTTGTTTTTGTTTGTAATCAATTACACAAATTACTTCCCAGAACATTATTTAAGGAGATTATTTGACAAGTCAGCAGGTACATTTCCTGAGCCACAATTGGGGCAATTCAGTGTCACTCATCACAACAGGCGCTCAAAATCACTCACAACATACAACAGGCA